AAAAAAAAAAAAAAAAAAAAAAAAAAAAATTTGTGCTGAATAAAAGAATAAATAAATTACATCAAAAGATCATAGAACATTTACAAACATTTTTGAGTTTCTCAAGTCTCGCTGGAAGTTCAAAATTCTTAAAAATACAACAAAAAGAAAAACGTCTATAATTCTTCGTAAATTTTGACTTATGCGAAAACACTCTACCAGATATGTGAAACGGTAACACAAAAAAGCATTACAAATATAATTCAAAAAAAAAATTTTGTTTTCTTCACTGCCAAATTCAGCTAATTTGTCCATTCTTCTTACAATTTTTTTTTAAAACTAAAGTTATTCATATAACGTTCCTTCAGCAATTCACTACACCAAATTACTTATTTATTTTGAAAACAGAGGTCACAGGCAATTGTTTGGAATATAAATGAGTGACATGAGCAGCACTATACAAAGATAGAGGGAGGACATGAGGCGCCTAGATCATGTTTTAAAAATACATAATGCTACCAAGAGGCACCAAAACAAAAGCAGTAATATCAAAAAAGCATTGCTCGCCTGCAATCGTGTGCCCTGTTTCTGTGTGTGTTTGTGTGTGTGTCTCCCTCTCTCTCCTTCCCTTTGCGTCGTCGTCAGTCGTTACATACACGCAGATCCATCTCTTGACCAACCGAAACAACAATTACGAAATTTGGCTGGAAAAAGAACGCTTTACGGGGAAGGCTTAGCAGAGCTGTCCAAAACCGATTTGGCACATCATTGTTACACTTATCTACTGAACACCTGCTGCGATCGCCTCCTGAAAATCAAAGGTGATTGCATTGTTTGCCTCCAAGCTATGAACACGAGTATCGTTCAACGCCAAAAAAACGGAATTTATAAACAAACCTATCAACAAATGTTTTTTCTTTAAAAATAAAGGAAATTAAATAGAGAAGTATGCTGTTGCTTCTATTAGAGAGAACAGACAAAAGAAAATGGGACAAGCCATCATGAATTACAGAGAGAACATTGGTTGCAAACGCTTAAGCACATAATCATAAAACGTGGGTTTTCAGCAAATCCTCTCCTACCAACATTTTTCTTCTTTCACGAAGATTCTGTAGTCAGTCGTTCACTTTGCAAAAACCTTACACCTCATACTTCCATAAATAACTGTGACACTGCCAGCTACGTAAACATAATGTTTATTGTTTGATTTGGTAAAGATAAACAGCAGAGGCAAAAGGACAAGACACTTTGATATAAGACACAAGACACAGTATAACAGACACTTTGAAAATTACAACTCTTTGCTGAACCTGAGGATGTTTGTAGGAAATTAAATTTCAAAACAAAAGCAGCGCACTATCTTCCAGGATCATCAAATCGAAACATTTATTTATTTGCGTTTGTAAAATTTCTTCATTGAAAGCGAAACCACAAATTCTATCACGAAAATACCACAACTTTTTCTGCATTGTGACAAGAAAAAAAGGAAGAAATATCACTGACGTTATAATTCAAGAAGGAAAAAAGAAAAAAAAAGAAAAAGGATACTTCAGTCAACGACAAACAGAATCCCTTGTAGATTTCCTAAATTAAACAAATTGTTGCCAAACTAGTACCTGTTCAACTGCTGTCTGATATGATATTGCATTTTACAAAAGAAACAGAACTACTTTTAAAGAGAAACAGAAGTTCAGAAAATAAGGATATAACAAGATCATACACTAAAACACCTACCATTCAATAACCACATATGATCGTGCAGCTACTGCAACTGCTATAACAAATGAAGATCATTTGAAATTGATGATAATACACTCAGTATGCATGAAGAAACTTCTCCGATGACGTTATACCAAAAAGAAAAAAAGCAGCAAAAAAAAAAAAAAAAAAAACAAGTTTCTGGGAAATATAATGGTTGCATAAACTGAGGACAAAAAACGGATACGCTAAACAGCAGTCGGGTTCCTGGAGCGCACATTTTTACAGTTGGTTATTTCCTTGCATTCCAAACCAGCAACAAAACATCCAAAGCTACAGACCATTTCAATAAGTTAGTTACTATTATAAAGAAAAAAAAGGAAAAACAAGTCAGTCCCTTTGTACTTCTAAACAAAATCCTTGCTTTCTCCTTTTTTCCAGAAATCTTGCCACTATACCCTTCTAAACGTGCAACAAACGTCTGCTCAACTGCCGGCGTTCTTCGATAATTCAGTTGTGTTACATTTTCTCATCGTGCAAATCGCCATCAATGAGATTTGAGCGAGAGAAGTTCAGCCTTCATTGGAGTTTTGCCAACCCAATAGAATCCTTCGTATAGTACAAACTGTGTGATTTGATTTTCTTTTTTTGACACATTTGTTATTATACACGCCAATAGGAAAACGGGAAGACGTAGTGTAGTGTGATGTTGCTGATGCAAGACACGCTTCGTCAGAATCATATCTGATTATTCCGCCTGTTAGTTTTTTCGTTTACGGACATTTGGGTGGATTCTGTGCTAGTGGTTTATTGTGTTCTAGCTTTTTTCCATCACTATTTCACCTTTAACTGCTTTATATTTTCTTTACTTATTTCTCGAATTTTCTTTTGTCCATCGATTCACTGCTATCACTGTTATCGCCAAAAAAATCCAGGCTGTAACATTATTGACAAATTCAACCAGTAAATTCGATTACATCTTGCGTCACGCAAAAAATACTTACTTTAAATTAGCTGCTCCTGAATTCTATGACACTTGGATCATTTTGATTCAAGTAAGTACGTTTATTTTTTATTCTTTATTAATATTTTTTTTCTTGAAACGTTTATTCATCACTTTATCATTCGCAGCATAACGGATTGCTATAAATGACTAGGACGCTTGGCAGTTTTTAGACATCAACATCTGAAGGGGAAAAAAGAAATTGTGTAACTGAATTTTAAAGTTTTAAAAGTATTGAAGGATGACTGTGAATTTCCTCGGCATTTGTTTATTGATTTTATTTTGTGGCTGAAATATTCGTGTTTCATTATTTTGACAGTTTTCATATGTAGATGAAATGAAGCTGTACTTTTTTATGAACAGTAACTGGTGCTTTTTAAATGTTGTTTTTCAACACAGGATGGGATCAAAGTTGAATTCTGTTATTGATGCGTTGAAGCGGTCGAAGGCTAAATATGAAGATACCGCGAAAAACGACATAATGACTGCATTGTTGGCTTTCCCAGACTTGGCTCCGGAAGTTGAAAGCTTTGCTTTTCCTAATAGCAAGCGTGTGCCAACGTTTCGTTTGAAAGGGACTATTCCTGTGTTGTATAAGGTTATTGGTAACTCATTTAAAATCCAGTTTCTTCCAAGATGATCTCTTTTTCGTTTTATTTTTAAGGGTTCTACTTATAACATACCAGTGGCTTTATATCTGTCGGATGCTCATCCTTATTACTCTCCTATATGTTATGTGTGCCCAACACAGAATATGATGGTTAAAGAGTCAAAGAACGTTGACGCAAAAGGCCGAATTTACTTGCCATATTTAACTGACTGGCGCTATCCTGGATATGATCTCAGCGGACTGTTACAAGTAAGTTGCTCTTTTTTTGCTTTAAGTGTTGGTTGGAAGCTTTTATAATATTAATGTGGATTTTAAAAATCAGTAACTTTTTTTTGCATTTTTCGCAACTTGCTCCTGGAAAGTTATACTCGAGGTTATACTATCTGTATACTTCTGAAGTAGCTTCTGTTATTCACTATAAGCCAAATGTGCGGCATAAAAATTTTGGGCCTTTCTCCATCAGTTTTGTTTACCATTCGAGCATAACGACTTGGGCTAGATGTAGTCAGAATCACTGGACTGAGATGTTAAAATCTTTAATCTTTTCCCTGAAGTTTTTTAGGTTATGACGTTGTGTTTTCAAGATAATTCTCCAGTTTTTTCGAAAAGTTCTGACCGGTCTAGACAGTCGGCTACGAGCGTTTCTAATCAAACTCCATTTACTCCTTATCCAACTAATATGCCCGCAGGAATGCCCCCGTATCCATTGACTTCTAACACTGGTCCTCAGGCATACCAGAATTACCCTAGTCCGTATCCTTCATATTCAGGCGGTTCATCTAGTCAGAGCAACAGTATGGTGGGTACGGTAGATGCAACACATCTCAAAGATTCTATGCTTAGTGCGATTGGTGACAAGATCAGACAGCGGCTCCGAGAAAAATTAGGTCTACTAATTTTCTGATGGTAAATTTATTTATCGATCTAGTTTTTGTTTGAGCTGCTTTCATTTTAGAGACGGTGTATTCGGAACTGGAATCAGTAAAACGAACTCAAGCGGACTTAGAAAGTGGTAAACAAAAGTTGAAACAGTATATTGATGATCTGAATGCAGCTCAGACCCAGATGGAAGCAACTCTAAATATTTATAAAGTGAGATTTAATTTTCCCTTGAAAATTATGCGAAATTTAGGGTTTTATTTTTTATTAAAATCATGTTTTTTTTTTTTAATGTGTCACCTTCTGCTATCTTCTGTGGCGGTGTTGTTCTCATTTTATCCTCAAAAATCTTTTTTTCCCAGTGTGCACGAACGCGGGCTCATACTGTTTCAATTTCGTTGATTAAAAAAAGCAGAAATTTAATTTCTAAATTAATCGTAACCGCTAGTAGATATCATCTTTTGCTGAAACAGTATATTTGTCAGGAGAAAAAGACAACGCTGAGTGCAGTGCTTGCTTCATGTGGATCAGACTCTACTTTAGACATAGATTCGGTTATTGATGCTTCTACGCCGCTTCATAGACAGGTTTTTTTTTCTTTTTTGCTTTTTTTTTCCTTTGACAAATAATAATAAACCTTCACTTTCTACCACCATTGAGACGAAACAAGCAATATTTTCTTTTCCTGAATGATGCGGCCAAAAATTAATGAGAATTAATAAGTTTCAGATTATAAAATGCTATGCTCAAGATTGTACAATTGATGACGCCATATATTTCTTGGGAAAAGCCGTCAAAAAGGGACGAATAACTCTCCCAGCTTATTTAAGAGAAGTACGACAGTTAGCGAGAAAACAGTTCGTTTATAGGGCCACACTTCAGAAGGGTAGACAAAAAGCAGGGCTCCCTGTTTAAAGTTTGTATTTAATTGTAAGTAATGGCTTTACTTCTTACCTTTTGTCAGATGAATGTTATAAAATAAATTATATCATTCAGTTCTAAGCAGTCATCACAAGCTGTGAAAGGTGGCTGAGGCAACGCACAGCTATTTCTAGGCTACTCAGTTAAGGCATTAATGTACCAAGTTCATACCTTATTCGTTCCGAAGAAGGCTATGACTCGTTAAATGTTGATATCTACTTTTCGAAATAAAGAAACCATAACTGTGACTTAGAGAAATGTAAATTTACAACCAAAAAAAAGTGGAAAAGCCAACTTTGACTCACGGCAAATTTATTTAGCCATTGAAAATAGAGTACGTCTGGGAGTAGATATAGCAGCGGAAAAACAATTTCCCAATTTGAGCAAGCATATTTTTTTTTATGCCGCGTAAGTACCGTTCATTCCGAGCACCTATAGCAAGAAATATTCAGAATTAGCTTGTGACGTGTAGAAGGTTCTTAAAAAGACTGATTAAATTGGAATACCAACATTCGGTGTTTTTAATCAGGGCTGGACAAAATTTTCAGCTGTATCAGCTTAGTAGGGGCTTAGGGGTGCCGTCCTTTAGTCCAAAGGTGAGATTCACGGTCGCTTCTTCATATGATTATACCTATTGTTGAAAGCTGGGATACATCTCTGAGAAATCCAAAACGATTTACCGATTGTATTCATTATCACAACTGAATTACTCAATCTGCATTTCCAGCGTGCAGAACTACAGGATATTTTTCCCACATGAACTGTACGAAACTGTTGTGTCACGTAGCATGAAAGTTGGAGATAACATTTACATTACTTGATAGCGTTTTGTCTGCTCTTATGGTACGATACGAGCGGGCAAAAGATAAAATTTTGAATGGGTTGCATGGCGCTGAACCGAGTGGTTGAGAGAAAGTGCGTTCATAAGATGAATTCAAAAAGTAAGTTTTGCTGTCGACTGGGGCGAGGAACAAATGTAGTCAGTGTTTGTTTTATCACAGTTGAGTGGGTGTTCCTTTTGCGCTGCCTTTAGAACCCCCAACTCTACGTAGACAATGTTATGGCTAGTTGGAGGCTAAGGTTAACTTTATCAACAGCTTTATCATTCTGTGGACTCCTTATTATTAATATTAATAGTAATACTATTATTGTTATTATTATTATTACTGTCACTGATGATAATGTGACTTTTATTATTTTTAATTTCTACTTTCATCCGTCACTTTCATTTCTGCTGTTACTATCGTTAACTTGAAAATAATAGTGATTATTTGTCCTTTGTCTCCCTTCTCCTTCCTCTAACCATCATGCAGATTAGGCCAAAAACTTTGAGCCGACGAAATGATAGAATATATCCACTCTGTCCAACTGCATCATCAATTTTTTGTCAGCGGCAGGCGATAGAAACAGCAAGCTGATGCCCGTCCCTGAGAAGTATTTAGAACATTCATTTGTTTAGCTGATCGGTAGTGTCGCATGAAAAAAGCGTTGACAATCTGTTACTGCATGACTTTCTTTTTGTTATCATAATCC